GCTGATATTTGATCATCATCGGATCGTTGTAATCGTCCGTATGATGAGGATGATAAAGATGTTGATTGTGGAGTTGGTTGTGAACTTATTAAATAACCTTTTTGTCTACGATATTCTTCAATATAAGATTGTTTCGGCTGAAACTTGAATTTTGTATTATTCTCAGCTAACGCAGCATAATATTTTGGTGAAAAAAAACGGGAATTTTTTGTACTACGAAAGTTTTTTAACGGTTGTATAATACTATTTCCTTCTGAACGAAGACAGTTTATAGATATATCTGGCCATGGGCCAACACGATCAATTGTAGCATGAAGTGTTTGAGGATTATCTGGTAATGAACCATGACGTTTAGCAGCCTGATGATTAACTGATGATGGGTTTAAAGAATGAACGGGTTGTGATCCATGATGAATACGAGGTGGTTGTAATGTTTGTACACCAAGAAGTGATGGACGTTGGTTACTACAACGTAATAAATCACGTTTTAGTAATTTTTGAGTTTTTAGTGGTACATTTGGTTTTAAACATAATACATGAGAATCTGAATCAGTAATATTGGCGCCTGAATTAGTTTTACTGGGTGTTAAAGTTCTATTATAATCATGTGGTGTTGATAAACGTCTTGCTTGCGTTGGCAATGAACGTGGCTGAAGATGTTTATTAGATAAGGATCGTTTCGTAAGTTTATGCTTCATTCAATAAATACATATAGTCAAAAACAAGTACTTCGATGAGAACTTCTAGTCTTGTAACTGTTTTCAAATAAATGAGTAAAAGAGAAAGAGAGAGAGAGAGAGCGAGGGAGAGAGAGAGCAATAAAAAACGGCTATTGCTGTTGTTTACACTACCGATCCTTTCATTTGCTTTATAGATGTTGTTGTTCTTACAAAAGCAGTCAAAATGAAAACGAAGGAAAAGGGGAGAGAGAGAGAGGGAGCAAAGCCGATTATATATATAAAACAATTTTCATCTAACATGCAAACGAGCCTGGTGACAGCTGCCATTTAGTGAATACAGAAAAACACTGAAATATTTTTTTTTCTTTGTTTTTAACTAATTTGCGTGTCTTTGTATAATTTAAAGTGCTGGATATGAAATCGATTTTATTTCCTAGTAGTTCAACATTTAATAAGAAAGAAAGTATCGCTTGAAGATTATATTATTTTTTCCTTGTTTAATGATCATCATTGTGTGACATCTGTTATTTATTATTCATAACGCAAAGAGGTTGTTGCTCATATTTTTTAAATAAAGTGATTGCAAATGGCGATTGAAATTTGAAAAAAAATCTTAATATAATTTTATAGACAAAATATTTCTATACGATCATTGAATTATTTTAGATTCAATAATGCCAAAAAAAGGCAAAGGAAAGAAAGGTGGTAAAGGGAAGAAAGGAAAAGGGTGAGCTAAGATTATAAATTCTTAAAAACTAATCTAAACTTTCTATTATCAAGAAAAAAAGGCAAAAAAAATGATTCGCCTGTCAAAATGGCTGCTAAAAATACACTAATATGGCAAACTCGACTTAATATGGTGGATAACTCACGAAAACAAATTCGGTTAGCAAAATAAGATTTTTCAATGTATACAAATTCTTCTTGTATTTTATTAAAATAGAGAAAGATATGATAACTTGAATAGTGAACATGAAGTATTAAGTGAGCAAATGCGTCAAACAGAAAAGGATACTTTAGATGTAATATCCTTTCTGAAAAAACAAGATCTTGAAAAAGATGCTGAGGTAAATTATTATCTAAATAATCAACTTATTCTATTTATAATCGAATAGATTGAACGTCTACAACAAGAATACAAAGATCTTCATGTAGAACAAGCTAAAGAAAAAGATGAATTAGTATGTATATCTATCTTTATTTACTAAATTCTATAATTATACTTGTTGTTTCTTTCAAGATGGTTGATTTCAAACAACAAAGACGTTTTCTAGATGAAAAATTAGCTAGAAAAGAAAGTGAATTAGATATTGTTCGACATGAACTTAATCAAATAAAAGATTTTCGAAAACGAAAAGCTCAAATGCAAAAAGAACTTGATGAAGTAAGAGTTTATATTTTCTTCTCTTTTGTTTTATAATCTCAATTTTTTATAGATTAAACAAGTTATGATGATGAATGAAGGTGATCAAAAAGAATCATTGGAAAGATTTGAACGACAATTTGCCGATGAGAAAAAACGTTTACACCAGGAATCAAATAAAAAAATTGAAGCTATAGCTGAACATGCACAAAATGAAGCAATAAAGTACGAAAATAAATCTTGAATTTTTTTTTCTATATTTTTTCTATTCAGAACTTTAGATGAAAAAGGTCGAAGTATTTATAAAGAAAATGTTGATCTTATTAAATCATTACATATTTATAAACAAGAATTAGTTGATGTACAATATCTAAAAGAACAATTAGCAAAACAAGCTGCTGAAGTTATAGATGATAAAGAAACAAATGATTCATTAATGAAAGAAAAAATTGAACAAGTACAAAAACAAAATAAATCAATAAAAGAAGTAATAGGAAGCAAATAGATTTTAATATACAAATGATTTTATTAAATTTAGTTAAAAGAAAAAATTCAACATTTAGAAACATCATTAACACAATATATTGATGAATTTAATGTTCAAAGAATAAAACTTATTGAACGATCTGATATCGAACAACAATCATCACGTAATGAAATTGTTAAATTAGAACGTGCTTTAGAATTAAAAGGAAAAGAAATGAATAAAGTTAAAAAATTAGGTAAAACAATTCTTGAACAACGTTCAGATTTAGAAGCTATGTTTTTGGATGCATTACAACATGTTAAAAAACAAGTTATTCAGAATCGTTTAGAACATAATAAAGATAATTATAATACAAATGAAAATCGAATGTTAAATGTATATCATGCACCAGAAGATTTAACAAGAATGAGAACATTAAGTGAATTCAATAGAAATGGTTCATTTCAAGATTTACATGAAGAAAATAAATGGTAAAGTTTATAATTGATAAGTGACATGAGCAAACAGTGTTTTATTCAGTGGGTGGGCGACGCTGACCCTGAAATTCGGTCTGCCCACCCAAAAAAATACAGTAGTTGTATATTTTGAGATGGTCCGGGTGAGCGCCGCCCATCCGAAAAACAGAACCTAGATAAAACACTGTGAGCAAATTTTCATGTTATGATTTTACCGAATAGAGAAAAATTATTAACCGCTGTTGCCTAAAACTTCATTGAGTCATGTCTTTTATTACGAAATCTATGGATACAAAGAGTTTACAATAAGATGATGAAAGAATCTAGGATAGATAGAAAAAAAGATGATGAAATGGATGAGCAGATGTCACCGGACTATGACGTAGGAGGATGATGCAATGACAAGTATGAAGAGAAAAAGATCACTCCATGATAAATCTGAATTTTTTTTAATACCTGGGAGATTATTTTCTTTTATCGTATAGGGACAATCATACTAATGGAATAACTGTTAATGATTTAACATGGGAACAAAAAGAACAAGTACTTCGAGAATTATTTATTCGAATGAATGCAAGAAAAACAAATATAATTGAAACAACCATTGATACGTAAGATTTTCCTTTTATTTATCTATCGTAAAAACCTTTGTTGTTGTTGTTTTTTTAGTGAACAATCAACTCATGATGATAGTCCAATTGATAATACGAATAATATATTTGTAACTCAAACAGATAGTACAATACAAAATCAAAGTCGATCAGATTCAAGAAGTAATATTAGTCCATCAGGTGTACCGAAATTACCTCAGATTTCATCACCAACTCTCACATAAATCGAGCTTAAATATTTTTATAAAATTATTTTGTATATGTTTTTTTTCTTCTTCCCAAACAAAATAAAACCAATTCAGCTAAATACCTGTCTTTTATTCATCAAGAACAAGAACAAAAGTATAATATACAAATAAAAATGAGAAAAAAAAAGAATCGAACGGTTAACGGTAATTTTAAAGACTTTCTCCTATCAAAAACAATGAACACAATAAGACACTCAACAAAATTCAATAGCTTCGAATTCTCTGAAAAAAAAATTTTTTTCGATCGGTTGTTTCAATTTTGATTAGAATGAAACGATATATATTTTTCTCAGTTTTTCGAAGTTATCTAATGTTAAATTTTTCTTGAAAGGATACGAAGTCTTTAAAAAAATATTATTTATCTCATCTCAAACAGAGAAAAAAAACGGAAACAAAAAACCCAAGAAGAAGAAATAATATAGTAATCTTTTTTGTTCTTTGAAATGTAAAATCGGAGATAATTAATCGTTTACTGGATGAAAATCATCTTCATTAATATCCTTTTCGTTTATTTGTCCTGAGATTCGATGTGCTTCGATTTCTTGTTTATCATCATCTACTGAAGGTTGAATATCAGCCACAGCTAGACGCATTTTCATTTCCGTTGTTAATTTTGGTAAAAATTCACGAGGTATAAGAAACGATGCAAGATTAAATAAATCGATAAACACTTTATATCGATCACTATAGAATAAAAAAGAAACAAACATTTCAAAACAAAAAATCATATTCAATCAAACCTGCAAGTTGATCGTAAATAACTATAACCAGCTGAACCACCTGTACCTTGTTTATTACCAATTTGTCGTTGAACAAGTATTAAATGATTATCTAAAAATGTTCAGGTACTCTAATTTATAATCTTTTGTCTAAAACTTACATCGCCATTTCGTAATCAATGCATCGACATCCATAAGTAATGACAAAACTTGATAAGGACCCTAGAGAAAATTAATAATAGATTTTAATTAATACTATTTCAATAACAAACTTGAAAACGTGGTTGTTCTCGATAAAGCATGATCATAAGAGCACCTTGAAAAGCTCGATGACTCATACGTCGTTCAGATCTTGCTACCAATTGTTGATGAAATTTCTCATCAATTAATGAACGAAATGTATCAGCTGTCTTTTTAACATCTTCTAATGCTGCTTCACGAGCTGTTGGATTTGGTTCATCCTGCAAAATAATAAATTTTTGATAGAAATTAAAAAAATGTTTCGTTTCAAACTTGAGCATTTGATTGAAGATATTCGATATATTGTGCCACAGCTCGTTTATATCGATCCCAAAAACAAAAACTTGTATCGTCAAGACCTGGTGTTCGTTCTAACCAACGCTAAAAAATATATTCAAATAATGTTTTTGTAAACGAAAAATTATCTCTTACTTCAATAAGCATAAGTAATGTTGGTTCTTCCAATGAATCAGTTAATTCTGTTTGTTGTCGTGAACTTGGAAACGCATTTTTATACGATATTTGACTATAAGTAACACGTGTTTTTTCCGTTAAACCTAATTTATTTTCAATTAACCGAAATTGTAAACTTTGAAAACCACTAGCTGGTGATAAATAGGAACGAAATTCCATGAAATCTAATGGTGTCATTGTTTCTAATATAATTATTTGATCACATAATAAACGCCATATTTGAACACAACGTTGAAGACGATTTATTGAAACAAACATATGACTTTCATCAATTTGTTTATTACCAAATATCACTCGAAGTGAATCAATTTCCCAAAGAATTTGTTTAAACCAAAGTTCAAATGCTGAAAAATGTGTAGATATAAAATAAAATCGAATTTTTCTTATTCTTACTTTGATGGATGATAATAAATAAATGTTCATCATGAACAGGATTTTTATTCTGATCATGTTTCGCACTTAATAAAACTTGTGAATCAAGTAAACGATTCAATTGTAAATAATTTCCATACGTAACTAATTCATCACTTGATGGTAAACGTTTAAGTTCAGGTTTAGCTGAACTTGGTTGACCATAACCAGTTAATGAAAGTATTTCGTGAAGTGCATCACTATTTACAGAACCATTCAATGTTAATTTCGATGTAGCTGTTGATGTTGATGTGTCATCATCTCGTTCGAGAAATCGTGCATACGGACAAGCCATTTTATCTTTTAAAAAAATGTAATACAATGAAATAAGTGACTTAAAAAAACTATTGATTTTTATATTAAGTATTTCAATATAAAATATATACGAAATTTGATTCAGAAATATTCATTTTCTTCTCTCTAGAACCATCTGTTACTACCTTAAATCAATATGATTATAATTATAATCATCGAAGCACAAGTAAAATGAATAGGATGATGTCATTTGAAAAGGCAAAAATGGCCTTGAAAATATACAAAGAAAATGAAAAATGGTATCATATGTAAGTTCTAAAGTACGTAGTAAATATATCGAGAAAGAACATGTGCCTTTCAGCTATACATATTCATAACTTTCTCTTTTTCTTCTTCTCCTCCTTTTTATAGTTGTCGACGAACATTCCACTAAGATTATTTAAATATTTACTTATTTCGCCTACCGAATAAATTATATACATACAAATTATATACACATCTGTGGCTGTTATGATTTGTATCATGGGACATTTTTCTTATTTTTCAAAACGAAATAGAATTTTTTAGTGGGTGTATAATCTTGAATGACATCGACGTGAGATAATGTTAAAAATTACGCATTATCTTATATTCCCATCCGACACACCCTTTTTATATTGATACTATTAGCAAAAAAAAATACTATTATGCCGTTCTAATTTGTGTCAGGTGTCAGACAAAAGGAAAAAAAATTGATTTGAAAACGTACCTTTTTTTGTCGAAAAAGAAAAAGGATAGATATAGGATGATATGCAACATATTTATATATATAGATATCTATTGCAGGTGACAATTATTGAACCGAAACGAAATGATTGTTGTAAATAATCAAACAAAACAAGATTAATATGTATTAATTAGATAGAAAGATAGCTGTCCTTATGTCATGTTTTGTTTTCAAAGCTGATCAAAGATGTGATAATGATTTTATATATTTATATATCATAAACAACAAAAAGTGTATATAGTTTGTTGGAATTGCCACAAAGATATTCAGAAAACAGAAAAGAAATGTATTGAGTAAAGATTGATAAAATTACAATAGGATAGAAGAATTAGCTGATATTATATATTCTTCACATTCTCCTAATGGAAATAAAATAATAGATAAAGAGAAGAAGAAGAAGAAAATAAACTGTTAATAATACGCACAAACGACAACACCAGTAAAGAAGAAGAAAAAAAGAATAAATAAACTAAAACTGCTTCTTATTTTTGGAGAGAAGGGAAGCGAAAAACAAACACGAGACTTCTATTTGGTATCGATCGATTCCCATCCAGCATCATCATCAAGAGCCCATTTTTCATCGTCGAAATTGATTAGATTCGGTGCTGGCGCTGGTTTTGGTTCTGGTTTAGGTTTAGGTTCCGATTTAGATTTTGATGAACTTGTATTTCCTGTTTTCTTCGAAGATGTTGATCGTGTTGCACTAGCCGCTGGTTTTGAACTTGGTTCATCATTTAACCATGATTCAAAACTATCATCACGTCCTCGATTTGAAACATCATTATTTGATTTAGACTGTTGTTGTTGATGATAAGAATTTGAAGTTGGTAAACTATTAAACGTATTATGATAACTAGAATTGTCATTAAAGTTTGTCGATGGTGATTGTTGTTGATATGAAGAAGACCAATCATTCTAGAAACATAAAAAAAGATATTTTATATTTTGTATAAAGAAAATTCAACTTACTGAATCCGTATAATTATTATTATTATGTAATCGTTGATCTTCTCGGTTACCGGTATGATAATCTGCTCCTGACCATAACGATTGCATATCGGACCATGTTTTTGTACCGAGTTTACCCATGGATGATGCAATAGTCGTTACACCCGATGAAACATTAGTTAGTAATGAACCATCTTTAGCTTGTTCAGTTACTTTTGATGTTAATTCAGTTGCTTTGTTAGCTGCTGTTTTGGATAAACTAAAAACTGAATCTTTAGCAACACCGGCCCATTTAGCAGCATTTGAAAGTGATGCTCCAACTAAATCTGGATTTGATGCTTGTCGTTCCGATGATGCATCATAATTTGTATTGCCAAAACCCCAATATTTTGGATTACCACTACCAAGACCGGATGCATATTGTTGATCATTAGATCCACTATTTTGATAACCACCACCACCACCACTATAATCTTCACTTCGCTGTTCAGATGCTCTATATTGTGGTCGTTCTGTTGGTGTTGGCTAATCAAATAAAACTATAAATATAATTTTCATTAGTAAAATTTGACTCTTACTCTTGATGGTTTTTCAGTCAAACTTGATGATGAAGATGATACATAAGAAGAACTATGATTTTGGGCTGGTGACGAATTTATTGACCATGTTTTACCCTGTGCTTCTGTCGTAATTTTATCTCGATAGAGAGCAGCAGCACGAGAATTATATCGTTGTTGCAAACTCATTGTATTTGCATTATAATCCGGTTGACTTGAAAGAAAATCTTTCGCTTTACGATTTCCACCAGCTTTCATTTTTTCAAGTTCAAGATCTTTCCATTTATCCATTGTTACTGAACGTACAAACGATAAATGAACACCTAATCCACGATGTTTACCCGAACATTCAAGACATATAAAAATACCTAGGTAAATATGACAAAAAAGAAAATCAGAATAAATAATTCACAGTTCAATCACATTTCTTACCATAGGAAACTGAAACCCATTGAGGATTTAATGCTCCACATTCAAAACAAACATTATTATCATCTTTTAATTTAAGATCTTTTAAAACCGACCGGGTACGTGGACTAGCCATTTGTTAATATAGATAAAAATCTACAACAATCATAGATATTTAATACAAATATCAATTATATACTTAGTCATTTATCTCTGAAATTAACAGAGAATGGAAAGACAAGGTTACATAACAATCAGAAAACAAATATACATAACAGCAAAAAAGAAACTGAAAATAAAATTTATGCATTAATTTGTTTTGTGAGATAAGATAAGGTTTCGAATTAATTCGTCGAGTTTGTATTTGTTCCCTAATTGATTTCTGCTTTTTTGTTCATCGATGATGTTGACTATTACTTCGTTCATTATCACTATCATGTCGTGATCGTTTTGAAGATTTTTTATGATGATTATGTCGTGAAGATGAACGTTCAGAATCATCACGACGTACTCGATTTGTTGATGATGGTGTTGCATCGATTTCAATTATTTCTGGTTGTTTATTTAATAGTTGAGATATATCATTTGAAGGTGAAGATCCATCTTTTGTAGGTGTACGATGTAATGAACGAACAATACGAGTCGATTCATCAGTACCTTGATGTTGATGACTACTATCATCTTTATGATGTCGTCTTAAATAATAAAATATTGATAAGTATAAATAACAAATAAATTCAAAGACAAATTACTTTCGTGAATATCGTTCATATTTATCATCTCGATCTTTTGATGATTTTCTATCATTTTTCGGTCGTTCATATTCATGTTCTCTACTACGACGATGTGTATGATAGGATGATGATGAACGATCTTTAGATGGTGGACGATCACGAGCAGACGGTGATTGATAATCCTGATCATTTCTTTATGAAACAAAAATACAATTGACTTTCATCTATACATAAAATATTACAAATATACCTGTATCGTTCTTTATAACGATCATTTTTTGATGCTTCATCAATATCACCAATAGTAGCACCACTATCACCATTAGCACGATTTTCTTCTGGTGTTGATGTACGTGATAAATGATCTTCAACTGCTGGACTTCTATTATAAGGTGCATGTTCATTACCACTATTTGCTGATCCAATAGTTTCAAGTGGAAAACGATGCATAGGAGGTCTACCAGCACTATAAAATATAATCAATAGATAGAGATAAAGAATATAAAATACTAACTTATCCCATGGTTGTTGAGGATAATGAGGTACAAAATATGGTCGTTGAAGTCTAAATTAAATTTTTGAAAGATTTCGTCGAAGTAATAAAATCAATTTTACCTATCACCATGCATTCCCATAGGAGGTCCATGAGGATAAAATTGTGGACCACCGAGTCTATGTAGATGACCAAATGGAGGTCGAAATGGCATACCATTCGATACAGGCATCATAGGTAATCGATGTAGACCAAATTGAGGTATATGATGAGGAGTACCTGAAAATGTTCCATGAGATGGTGAAGGACCATTATTAGTTGCTGGTTGTGGTGATGATATGAGATCACCTACCGTTTGCCCATTCGATGATTGATTATTACCAGGACTGAATAAAGAAAAATAAATGAACTTTTCTTATGAGAATTAACTAAAACTTGCAATGATGAACCATTCACAAATTGGTGATGTTCAAAATTATTTAATGTCTCGAGCATCTGTCGACGAGACGTTTGATCAGTTGCACCTTGAAATAATAATTGGTCAATGTTTACTATATTTACAATTCTTCAACTTACCAATAACATCAATTCTTCCATCAGATTTTCGATTGTTCATAGGACGTGTCATCATTTGTAAGTTTTGAGGTCTATTCATCATCATCATTGGATGAGGATTATTCATTGTATGCATCATTGAAGGATGATCAGAATGCATTGGTGGCATATGTGGGTTCTAACAAAAGATAACTAGAATATGTTAAAGATTGAAAAAGTCTTACATGTACAGGATTAAGACGTGCTAAATTATTATCTGAAGAGAGTTGTCGTTGTCGATTACAATATTGTGCCCAAACTTCTTCGGTAAAACCATAATTAAAATAATCAACAATATCTGCTCCTAAAATAATTTCATAGCATAAGAAAATGTGAAGATCATAAATAATCGAACCTGGTTTTTTCCATGGCTTTTCTTCATCTTTGTAAGCATTGAGTATATCATATTCATACGTTGGTTTTCCATTAATAACACCTTGTGCATCCAAATCTATACCACGTATTGTTGGTAGTTTTGACGCCATAATAGGAACTCCTAGCACGTTATTTAAATTTACACACTGCAAAAAAAAGCTAAATTTGTTCTACCTGATAACATTCCTCGATTTTTTCGTCGATTTATTTGAAAATTTGTTGCATCTGGGTCATAATTTCCTATCGTTATTTTTATTCCATCATCATCTGAATCTGAATCCTCATCTACTTGATTACTAATTGATGACATTGCTATTGGAATTGTTGTTGTTGTTGTATTTTCCTGTAAATAAAAATATTAAGTTGATTATTTTCTCTAAAACATAGACATACACATACTTTCACATCCATTTCTTGTGCTGCTATTTCATCAATTAATGGTGTAGCTGTATTATCTCTATCAACAAAACCTTCATCTAGATAAATAAAATTATTGAATAAAATACTTACATGATTTCATCATCTTTTGCTTTATTGTCTACAAATAAATAATGTACATATTAATAAAAAACTTATTTTTCTCATACTTTCATATAGCCATGTTTCTTCTTCTTGTTGTTGTTCATCTTCTTCATCATGATTAACACCGGTTTCTTTTACTGTCTCATTTGTATCCGACATTAAACTAGTTGGTGCAGTAATCTCGTCAATTATTGTTTCAGGCGTGATTACAAAAAAAATATTTAAAAAAAGGTTTTTATCGAACACGTGTTGACGTTAGACATTAAAATCAACCAATTATTATTAGGTTAAATATTATGAAATATAATACATGACATCTATCGTTCTAGACATTCATTGACATATCAAATAATCCAATAAAGTCAGAGCAATTGATTGACTTCATTACATGCATACAACCATTCATTGATCATTGATTGACAATGTCCTCGAACTATATGTTATTTCGATGTGTTTTTTCAATAATAAATATATGTTTTTTTGTAAGTTTAAAATTAGTTTTTTTTACAAACTACGAATAAAATTCTGTTTTAACAGGCATTGGGACTTGCAATTGTTGTATATACTTGGTTATTACATTTGAAAACCACGGATTATGGTTCTCTGATGGGTAGTCAATGGTTTACGGCGCCTATGATACTGATTATTTCAGGTTTATTTTTCATAACCTAATAATTATTTTAATATTTCTTTTTTAGCGAAATTTTCAATGTTATTGGGCATTGTTGGATGTATGGGTGCTTGGTTTGAAAAACGCGCATTACTATTTATTGTAAGATATATATATATATATTTTTAAAATAATAAATATTTTTTTAGTACATCATAACAATGGTTATAATCTTTGTTGGATTATTATTTGGTGTTGTATTTATTATTGCTTTGAATGAACGAGTAAATTAAATATTTGATTTTGAAAAATACAATAGTAAATACTCGTTTATTAAGGTTGCAATGTCTACGCACGAGAAATTATTGAATAATATACGTCAATATCCAGATAAAGAAAATGAATTTTATAAAAAAATGACTATCATTCAAAGACGAGTAAAATTCGAAAATACATGAAATGATTTAAACTTAAATTTTCCTTTAGCTTCATTGTTGTGGTATTGATGAGTATCGCGATTGGTCTAATGGTGATGTTTGGTCAGATCATTCTTATATACCTGATTCATGTTGTATTGAAGAAAAATTTGGTTGTGGAAAACATATGAAATTAAATGAAACTCAAGGATTGATCTATACAGATGTATATATTTGAAACAAGAAAATATGAATAATTAGAAAATGTTTTTCTTTTATTATACAGGGTTGTTTTAATATGATTCAAAAGGAAATTAATCGAAATTTAATGATCGTTGGTATTCTTGCCTTTGTTCTTGTTTTTGTTGAGGTAAGTTTTTTGTTTTGTCTTTATTACTCGATACGAAATAATGAATTGTTAAGCTTGTTTGTTTATATATGACTAGTAGGATAGGGATTAATCTAGTGAGTGTCAATCTCTATCATATTTTGACAAGTTTCCTATTTCATATATAATTATTCAGTCGATACAAACATGTAATAACTAAGTTGATCGATCAATTATCATTTTTTTATTCGTATATCAAAAGAAAAGATCAGATGTACTGATAAGATAAGTATTGTATTAGTTGAATAAAATGATAGTTTAAGTTTTATATTGTTCACTTTGTTTTATCTCTGATCTATCGACAAAACATTTCATGCATGAGTTATAAAATTAATTTTATATATTCGTTCTTCTAAAGATATGAATATTTTAAGGGTTTTTGTATTGTGGTTGCACTTGGTTTACTTTGCTATCTTCGACAACGTGATAGTTATATATAAAAACATTTTTTCATTACTAATTCAATGAGCTCATTTCGTTCAGATATACATTTTGCCTTATTCTGTTTTTTTCGTAACGATCTGTTTATGATTTTTGACTTTTTTTTAATCAATGCAATATTATTCTTTGCTGTTTTTTGATTTTTTGTAAATTGGTAGTTTTTATTACGTTAGTGTCAGTTTAACAGTGTGTGTACTGCATGTTTTTTTTTACATTACTCATCTTTTTTTGCAATGACTTTGTATACTTAAATTTTTTTTTTCTGAAATAAATTTTGCATATATAGCAAAATAAAAATAATCGATATAATTTGTAGATGGTTTAACAACAAAAAAATTCTTCAATGGAAATCAAACGTTTTATTATTCTGATACTTTTAAGTCATTTAGTATTGTTTTATTCAATATTTGATGTTTATTTTACATCACCAATTAATCATGGAATGCCTTTACATACGTCAACACGAACGCTACGTGCTAAACGTCTTGTACTTTTTGTTGCTGATGGTCTTCGATCTGATAAATTTTTCGAACATCTGAATAATACACCTTATCTTAATTCAATTATTGAGAAACGAGCAAGCCTCAGCGGTATTTCACATACACGTGTACCAACTGAATCTCGACCAGGTCATGTAGCAATTATTTCTGGGTTTTATGAAGATGTATCAGCTGTTTCACGTGGATGGAAAGAGAATCCAGGTAAAATACAAACAAAAGAATAGTTCTTCTAACGGAGATGGGCAACTCCAGCTCCGGAGTTGGAGTTGCCCATCTCTTTCTTCTAATCTTCCTCTGATGTATCTGACCATATCATAAGTAAAAACATGATTATGCAATCAGCAGGTATATGTTTATTAGATGATGAGCTCTATCTATCAACACCTGATCATTCGTCAGTAGACTAATAACAAAACTAATGATATTATTATCAGAAAAAAGACCAAACGAGATTATCTGTTATATCATCACTTATTTCTTTTTAAGTTGAATTTGATTCGGTATTTAATCGAAGTACATATACATTTGGTTTTGGTAGTCCAGATATTGTTCCTATGTTTAAACGTGGTCAATCTTATGAACATTTTTATGTTGAATGTTATCATTCGAATGATGAAGAATTTGGTAATGATCGTGCACATGAATTAGATCTTTGGGTTGAAAGACAATTTCGAAAATTTCTATTAAATAATACATTAGAAAATGAATTAAGTAAAGATAAAATAATCTTTTTTTTTCATTTACTTGGTATTGATACAAATGGTCATTCACATAAACCATGGTCAGATGTTTATATGAAAAATATTCATATTGTCGATGGAATTGTTCAACGATTAGAAACATTAATTGAGAATTATTATAAAAATGATCAAAAAACGACATATGTATTTACTTCTGATCATGGTAAATAATATAATTTTACTTAGCAAAAGTTTGAGATAATTAATTTTAGGTATGACTGATTGGGGTTCACATGGTGCTGGTGATGATACAGAAACTTTAACACCATTACTTGTTTGGGGTTCAGGTATTCGTGCATCACATCATAAAGATGTTCATATTGAACAAGCAGATTTATGTCCATTAATGTCATACTTTCTTGGACTTGATTATTCAATAAATTCTGTTGGTCGTTTACCAATTGATTATTTATTACCAGTTGATGAAGAAATTCTTCAAGCTTATCTTCAAAATGCACGACAACTACTTGAACAAGTTCATAAACAATTTGATATATTAAAAAATCGTTTATTATATTTTAAATCATATAATTTAAATGAAGATAAATTTTTTGATCGGATGCAAAAAAGTGAAAGTTATAGGAATTTATATGAAGTTAAAGATGATATTAAAGGTAAAAAAATACTTTGTAAGGCACAAAAAAAAAACAATTCATTTTTGAATAGATTTTATGCATCATGTTGCACTAGCTAGCCATTATTATCATACATATCGACGTTTTCTACTTAGTATTTTAATTATTGCTGGATTTTTAACAACACTTTCAACAATTTTATATCAATTAAATTCAATTAATATACCATTATTTTCACCTATAGGATTATTATTTAAAATATTATCTATTCTAATTTTTATTCTATTATTAATTGAACAATCACCATGGACATATTTATTATATCCAGGACTTGTTTGTGTACATACATGGATTTCAGCTGATTTCATAATTGAATGGATACAACAAAAAGGTTTCAATCAAATGAAATCATTTTCATTTTGGTTAAAAATTTTTATGATTGGAATTTTTTTACAAACATATATACTACCATTTTTTCATCGTTGGACGATATCAATTGGTATTTTCCTATTATTTATTGAAGCTGTTCGACGTTGGCAAGGGTAAATATAGTTTTTCTCATCAATAGAATAAGACAAGAGGGTGACGGCGTGGGTGCGAATGTGGGTGGGTGAATGGGGTGTGGGTGGGTGAATGTGGGTGTGGGTGTGAATGAGAGTGTGGTGAGTGCAGGTACTATCCTTTTCACTTTCATTCACATTTTCACCCACACTCTTATCTATACTCGCACTCACACTCTCACCCATATCCACCCAAACCCATCCCTATCTTCGAGTAATATTAAGAACAGTTAGAATATATAACTGAAAATCAATATTCATACATATAATAATTAAATACCTTTTCTAGATCAATAATACATGATCGTCGTCGATTAGCATATGGAATTTTACTTTTAATTATTCTTATATTCCCATTTCTTCCAACACTTGGAACAATCAAAATTACTCTAGCATGGTGTACTGTATTATCAGGTATATTGATATTAATATTTCATTATCTTTATTTCAAATCTGAATCTCAAACATCAATTATTTATTATATTCAACGTATATGTTTATTACTTGCTATAATTGATAATTATCTAGTACATCATTTATTAATTCGTTCGTCATGGATTCATATTGTTAGTTGGATTATTTTATTTATTTCATGTTTTCTTCCATTTTTTTCTTCATCAAAATATCGTTTGAAACGACTTATTATTATATTTACATCAATATTAACAATTTATATACTTCTTTCAACACAATATGAAGCTCTTTTTGTTCTATGTCTTTGTTCATTAATGTTAGCATGGGTTTTAACATCTGAACAACAACATCAAGAAAATATTTGGTTATTTACATTTCAATCATTATTATTTATTTTATTAGCTTTTTTTGGTACAGGAAATTTTGCATCAGTTAATTCATTTGATCCATCCAATGTTTATTGTTTTCTAACTGTATTTAATCCATTTTTAATGGGCGCTGTTATTATATTTAAAATTATATTACCAATACTTATTGTTAATTGTGCAACAGCATATGTGATAAAAAATCCTGATATAATTAGATATTTTCGTTTATATATATTAATTATATGTGATTTATTAGCGCTTGAATTATTTTTTGTTATTAAAACCGAAGGTAGTTGGTTACAAATTGGTGAAAGTATAAGTCGTTATGTTATACTTATGGCAATGATTGTTATTTTAACAGCATTTCATTTTCTTGCAAGTTTATTATTAAACAAAGAATTAAACTTTATAAATAAGAAAACTAAATTGTGATATAACACTGCAAAAGAAAACTATTATTTCATTTTAAATAAAATAAATTTTTCGAAAAAAATAACATAGTGTTGATATTTTTTACAACAAAACACAAATCATCGGTAAATGGATAACAAATATTCGTATTAAACCCTCGATAGAAAATTTATTTATTTTCTCTTTATTAGAATAAATATATATGTCATACAGTTAAACGTCGAGTAAAGAATGATATGAACTATATGTAAAGGATATCGTTTGTATTAACGAAGAAGTTTTTTTGTCTATTCTTTCTATCAAACATTGTTTCTATCCGTCAGTTCATCATCTATATATATACTAGGACATTTACGATATTTCTTTTCCAAAATGTCTTCTTCAATAGTTATTATTTTTGTATTATTAGCAACTATTTCTCTGCCATTATCTTCAGCAGATTCGTCTTTGAACGATGAAGATAGTGTAGCCATACGTTTCTATGCAAATTTCACTCAAATAGTTCGTCCAATGACAAAGTTAAATCCATCAAAATATATCTTAGATCAATCATCTACATATGAATGCTATCACTTTAATTTAACTGAAACAGAATATTCACAAATATCTATAGATTCATTAACAGTATTAGATCCTAATGTTACTGAACGAATCATTACTTACCATTCAATGCCAAATTTTGAACAAGCAGGTTCACGATATTTTTATCGTCGTGATCTAAAATCTAATGAAACTATTGAAATTGAACTTCTTAATCCCAAAGATCGTGTCTTTCGTGAAGTTCAACAACCAAATCGTTATTTCTATTTAAAATCATTCGACGATCTTGAATATTCAACAATACCTGTTATACCTTATTATAATATTAAATTTTATTGTAATATATCATTACCACTAAATTCATCGTTTGCACCATTTTTATCGTATCATGATAACAGTTTTCAATGGACACCACGTTATACACTTGATGAACTTCCAACTGGTTCTAATAAACAAATTGAAATACATGCTTTTGCTGATATTCGTAATAATGGTAGTCGTCCAATATCTTTTGAAGTAATAGAATTTGTTTCAGGTAAAATTTGTTTCCCTTAGTTTTTCTTTTAAATCTTCTCTTTTCAATCTTTAGAAGATATCAAATTATACAAAAAACCATTTGAATTTTCACGTAATGAAACATCATATTCAGCTAATATCAGTGGTATATATCTAATTGAACCAAATTTTCCATCTACTTCTATATTAGCACCATATTCAACACAATCTATTCCATTCTTACAAGACGATATTATAGTTAATTCATTTAATTATTATTCAGGTGATTTTCTACCTGTTAATTCAACTGGTAAATTATTGAATGCATTCAATATAACATCAAATACTAGTTTTATTCCTAATGGTCGTATATTAATAAATAAAGGTGGCAAATTTATTGCACAAACTGATCTACCAAATATAGCGATCGGTGAAACATATACATCAGTATATGGTTATAATACTGAAGTTTCATATCGTCGAAAAGTTACAATAGTTGAAGGTGATGAAGATAGTAGCTCAATGACATATTATGTTGAATATATATTTAAAAATTCTTCTGAAGATGATGCTCGTATATATTTTATTGAATCATTTCATTCATTGAAATATTTTCAAATGAAAAATATTTCATCATCAGATCTAAATGGAGATATACCAGATGTTGTAATTCATGATATCAATTTACGTGGATATTTTATTGTTCCAAGTTCGAATGGTCAAAAAACAATCAGTTATAATGTAATTGTATATAAAACTAAGTCAAGTTGTAAATGAACATTAATAATTAAATATCAAAGATAATTTTTTTTTAAAAAAAACTTTCTATTATTTCATTTTTGAACAAAATAAATAATTCTATTAATTGAAATTCTTCTGTTTCCTGTCAAATACAAGGGAGGAGATGCCTGGTTAATGAATTTTGATAGTTGAATGAAATATATATTATTTGACAGATAAGATCAAGTTCTGCTTTTGTCATATTAATAGATATGATTAAACAAGTGAATATTCAGAGGTAACGTAAGTACAGAATATTAAGGTAAAAAGAACATTTGAGTCATTCTAAAAATATCTCATTTTAAATATTTCATGATCATAAAAAGAAGGTATGTAAATTCAATAGAAATAGGAAGAATAGATAGTTTTTATTTAAACACGCCATACAAGGTCAAGCTAAAATAAGTTCTCATTGTTAAACTTGTCCGAAAAGTGTGATTATTGTAAACTAAAAATATACTAGTGATAATAAAGTTTGTTATTTCACGCATTTTTCTATTCTTATATATATCGTTTGAATAGACGTCATCATATTTTACCTATGAATCGAATCGCGAGACATAACTAATTACTATTCGCGATCTTATATGCAATAAAGAGATAGACAGAATAACAAGCGTTAAGTCAGTGCATAAAATCATAAAAGATAAATTTAGCATTTTTATTACCAAGCGCTTAGTCTGCAAAGATGAGATTAGACAATAATATTAGGAACTAATGCTAAAATATGAAATGAGATTTTATACGACAAATATCATTCACAGATAGTGACAGCAACACTCGTTGTTTATAATTAACTATAAACAGTTGCGACATTAGTTTTAGTTTAGTGCGTATATTTAAAAAGTACATAAGTAAAAGAAAATAGAATAAGACGACATTTACTTCAAACTTTAAGTATAATTCATCATGAACATTAGATAAAACATAAAAAATAGATGAAATTTAAGTTTCAATATAGCTACTTGAATAAAGAAGAAGAAAGAAAATGTGTGGGAATGAAGTATTTATTTTAATTTCAAGAATTTATGAAGAAAGGAAATAATTAATTTATTATAATATTTTATCTTTTTCTTTTATATACTCGAGAATTTTTCTTTAAATCATTTTAACGCAAAACTCGAGATACAAGTAAGAAACAAGAAAATTGATTATCATCTTTTTATTGACATTATCAAGATCTCCCAGACAAAAGAATTGTTTTACTAAAAATATCTTATCATATACAAATAGATTCATTTGTTAGAATAGATATTTATATAAAGGTCCAATTTAACAAAAATAGCATTAAAAGTAATTAGTGCATAGTTATAGTGAATAGATTCAATCAAGTACTATTAATCTCAATTTTAGTATTACAATGAAACATGTCAGTTTCACTTCCTCCAGTTTCAATCTAATGAAGAGATTTATTTAAACCAGTCAACAGAAACTACGGTTTTCTTGTCTAGTATTTATTTTTGAGGATGTAAGCGACAGTGGCAGATGAGTTTTTTGTTATAGGTATGGGCAGGTCTACTAGTTGCAGTGAGCGTATAAGTGTAGGTAGATGTATGAATTGGCCCGGATGTGAATGTTTCTTTTTTTCAAACACGCACATCACTTACCTACGTCAATCAACACTCACGCTCACATCCTATCCACATTTCCAAGGTTTAAACAAAATATTACTTGTTCAGTATAATTATTCCCGAACTCATCTGAAGTATTTTATGTTTCAGTTAAATATAAATCGTTTTTCTTTAATAATGAATTCTATACAGAAGATATTTAACAATATTGAATAACATAGAAAAATCGCTATTCCTTAACAAAAATATTCTTTAACTACGTCAAATGAAACAATATACTAATCACTAAAAAAGCAAACTTTAAAAAAACATTTTTATACTAATTATATGTAATCTTATATATAGGAAATAGATAAGATAATTAAGAAAAGTTAAAAGTACAACAAGACAAGATGATTATCAAATGAGCAGAGAATTAGGTTAAGCTTTATAAGTAAAAAAACATTTTACATTTTCTATCACTAACTTATTTAAAGGTAGTAATAAAACATAAACATATTCTTCTTATATATCATAATTAGATCAATGTCTATTTCTAATAATTTATCATCATTTAAACAACTTGAACCATGTTATATATTACGACCCATTGGATATTATCTAATATTTCTTTGGGTTTTTGGTATGAGTTTAAATGGTTCAATATTATATATATTTATACGATATAAAAAATTACGACAATCATCAACAAATATATTTATTGGTAGTTTAATATTAACAGATTTTATTGGAGCTTGTTTTGAAATACCAATGCCAGCTATTGCACTTATAAAATGCAGGTTAGAATATTTTTTGTTTGTTAATAAAATCATTGACAAAAATATTCATATAAATTTTAGATGGATTTTTGGTTATGCTGGTTGTGTATTTGAAGCTGTTATTGCTTATTTTGCAGGTTGTTCAAATATGTATATATTATGTTTACTTTCTATGGATAGGTATAATGAAAAAACTTCAGTTTTTTTTAAATAATTCATTGTATTAATTAGATATCTTGTCGTAACACGATCATTTACAGCAACAACAATAACAATTAAACAAACTTATATAAGTATTTTATGTGCTTATATATTCGCTTTATTCTGGACATTAATGCCAATAATTGGATGGTCTAGTTATGATTTTGAAGTATGATATTAATAGAAATTAGTAATATTATATAAATTCATTATATAGGGTGTGGGTGCATCATGTAGTATTAAATGGGAAGAAAGATCATTCAATGTATTAAGTTATAATATGACAATTCTTATATTTGTTTATCTTATACCGGTCATTATAATATTCATAACAAATATAAATGTGTTTAAATTAGTAAATAGAATTTTGAATAACAAGAAAAAGTAGATGATATGAAATATTTTGTTATAGGTTCATGAACATCGACGATCTACTAATATCAATTTCAGTGCATCTTTTATTCGACGTCAACTTGCAATCGAACATCGTGTAACATACACTGTTATTTTTATTATCGGTAAACAAAAAGAGACAGTAGAATTAAGTTTTTTTTAATTCATTTTTTTTGATAAAATTAAGGTGGTTTTCTTCTTGCATGGACTCCATATGCAATAAGCGTTTTTATTCGTGTATTTATTGATGAACATCTTTTGTCACCGCTATCTGGAACAATACCAGCAATATTTGCTAAAACAAGCGTTGTGTACGTGCTATATTTTTTATCATATATGAATTGTATTTGATTATTTTAGATGGAATCCATTCATATATATCATACGTAATGGAAATTTTCGTCGTTTTCTACCAGTCTTTGCATATCATCGTATTCAAAAAAAAAGTAATCAAAATTTTTTCATGCCTTTTTTTCTCTATATAAACTTTTATCTATGTAGGAAAAAGCTCTAATCCAACTCATTTTTCAGTTTATCCTTATTCTGCTGTTCATTTACCATTACCAGCTTCATCAAATGTTCCTGGAAATTAATTCTACCTAAACAAGACAATTTTTTATTGTTGATCAATATGATACGAACAGAGAAAAAAATTTTTAGTCTTTGTAAATGTTTATTTAAATAATTGAACAAATTCATCAAACGAAATTTGTCCATCACCACTTGTATCTAAAGATTTAACCATAGCATCAATTTGTGATTTACTCAAATGTTTTCCCATTTTATTCATAATATTTTCAAGTTCTTTTGCTTGAATATAACCTGAATTATCTTGATCAAATTGACGAAAAGCAACACGTAATTCATCTTGAGAATATTTTTTAGAAAATGATTCACCCATGACACGACAAAATTCTTCAAATTCAATTTCTCCTTAAATATATATAAAAGTAAACAAAAAAACTTTCATTTTAATTCAACACATACCAGTTCCATCTGTATCTACTTGATTGACTATTTGTTTTAATTGTTTATCATTTATTTTAATATTCAATGCTTTGAATACATTTCCAAATTCTTTTTCGGATATTTTACCAGATCGATCTATTCTTATATATATTTAATAAAATGTTTTTATTGTTATTTTATTCACATACCTGTATCAAATAACTCAAAAGCATCTTTTAATTCTTTGAGTTGAGCAGTCGTCAACGAAGTAGACATTTGTATAGGATAAATATATTCTAAAAGAAAAAGAAAAAAAATGAGTTTTTCAGCAGTATATATATAAATATCACACGCAGATAAAAAAAAGAAGAAAGAAAGAAATGTTAAATTACCTACGGATGTATATAAGTTTATTTCTTACTATCGAGAAGAATATTATTTTCCCTAGCAGAAAAAAAGGAGTCTACTACAATACGACCAATGTGAACGTTTGAGAATGAATTTTTCTCTTTGATACAAAACCAACAGTTCTTTAATGAGTGAAACCGACTTTTTTTTACTCTCATACGCAAAGACGTGAAAGTGTACACACAGATTTGACAATCAGCAAACGTGCTTATAACTGATGATAAAATTCTTTGTTCTTATCTACATATATATATAATGTAATCTAATACGTGAATAAAAAAAGCAGAGATTATAAGAATTTTTATTCGTTGACTAATATTAAATTTCATAATGTACAAAATACAATGTATATTTTTCTCAATAGAAAAAAAGTTAATAAAACGATTTATTTTAATGTGTGATATATCACATCATGTGTTATAGAATGCTGTTTTCTAAATAAATCCTTTGCAGATGTTGTAGAACTTGTTTAAAAATGAACTGTGGAATCATGATTTCACACAGTGTCAATCGATTAAATCAATGATTGTTTATTCGTTAAAATAAAACTAACTGACAGACAAACGGACATTTGATAAAGATCATTGCGTGTATGTTGTCGCTTCCGTCCTTCATCTTCGATCAATTCATCCAAATGCTCATCATTTTCTTTTTTTTTCTCTCAAAACAACAATCTGTCCACCCAGTTCCGTCATTATTTTCTTTTTCTTTCAATTCAATGTCGGTCAGTATTAGAATGAAACTCATTAAAAGAAGAAATGGAATAGAATGCGACAAGTGGAAAAATACATTGATGATTGCTTTGGGGTGCGTCTGTCTAGATGTTTTCTTGTATTCAATCGAAGAAACAAGAAAATTTGTTTTTTTTATTTTATTTTATCTTTTTGTTAGTGAAGTATTTTCGAAAATCAAACAGATGTTTATCTTTATTATAGGTCGTATATCGATCAATCATTGTTAAAATGAAAACCAAGGATAAAAACTTTTCGTTTTCATATATGATATGGTCTATCAATCAATAGTGAAAGAGAGAGAGAGACAATTGAATCTAGTGATGAATTTAGATCTTTTTTTTTTCTTCTTTTTCTCGTTCTCATGTGTGAACACATGTGTGTTTTTCTCTTTCGTGATAAGAGAGAAAATGAAGGAGAGAGAGAATGGAAACAATTCTATTCTTCCTATTCTAATGATAGTTCAATTCAATTATCATTCCTTCTTTTTTTAGGCGGTTCATACACGAGTGACAAACTACTAATAGACTGATTATATACATGCTTTCAACACATATATAAAAAGAGCATCAATTTGTGTATTCTAATCATTTGTAATCGATTGATTGCCTTTGAAAATTAGTAACAAGTTCGTATATAAAAAATTATTTTATTTAGTTCTGGGAGTAGTAACAATATTATCTTCATACAAACGTAAGTTTACTTTCCTTATTATATGACGAAATTGAGCAATTGATGACATACATCTAATAGTTCTATTTAATTTTCTAGATACTATGCCGAAACTTGATGGTTTTAAAACTACCGATTCATTTCGATTTGATCGCGATATTTCTTGTTCATCTATATCATTATCATCTTCATCCGGATATGGTTCACGATTAAGTTTATCTCAAACTGATCAATCATCATCAGCACATCGTCGTATTAGTATAACAAAATACTTCAAAGAAAAATTATCGAAACATAAAAGTTTAGCATCGCTTCTTTCATCATCATCACCATCACAAACAACAAGAATAGATACATCTGATCATAATTCAGATATCTATGATAATGTTTGGGATTTAGATAAACAAATTGAAAAAATACGTGTAACTATTAATAAACAAGTTCATTTCGATTCTCAATCAATTATTTCCATGTCTGTTGATACACCAAAACCAATAATACGTCATCGAATCGAGTAAGTCTTTTATTTTCGACCTTGAAATATGATCATATTCACTTTCATTCAACCATATCGCGTGATGAATACACCGACGTCTTAAATTACATACAGATGTAAAGATATATATATATATTTATGTGTGTGCAGACAGAGATGACCGGGAGATTATTGTCTTGTTTCGTCTATACATACACTTGATCGCACAGCATCTAATTGCAATAATACTATATATGTAGGAAAGACAATAGGGCGTCAATAGTAACGATAATCAAATTTTCAATTGTTCAACACGGTTGATTAACATATTAGTGAGTTGCTTTTCCTGACCAGCTGCTCCTTCGATAGATAAAGTTCTTGAATTACATTTTTTTTTAATTAATATTTCGAATTTTTCTAGTGATCAAGATTTATTAAATGTTGCTGGTTGGTATCAAGAAGGTTTACCGAAAGAGATATGTGAAGAATATTTAAATAATATTGAACAACCAATTGGATCATTTCTTATTCGATGTAGTTATCTTTGTTTGGATTATCCATTTATTTTATCGTTAAAAATCAATGAAAAATCTATTGAACATTTTTTTATTCAACGAACAAGTCATAATAATAATTGTCGAATACAAGTAAGTTTAACAAAAATATTTATTTCAATTTTCATTTAATTAAATTTGTTTATTATAGAATTCATCGAAAACATTTATCAATTTAAGTACACTTGTTATTCATCATACTGTCATACAAGAAAATTTACCTGTTACACTTGTATTACCACGAATACATTCATCGGTGAATATTCAACAACAACAACAATTATCATCATTAGGTTGTATTCGCTCTGTACGATTCTAGTCTTCCTGTACACAGTATCTTCATTAATAAAATTATATATATATATATGTAAAGAAATCTAAATCTTGGTGTTTTTGTTTTTTTGTATAGATTTATTTAATAAAAAAGACTAAATGAACAGATCAAATGAATGTATACGTTCAATGTTAATTATTCTCTTGGGAAAAAAGAAATGAAAATGAGAGACATCATGTTGACATCGATATGTGAGAATTTTACGAAATCAATTCAAGCAAAGACAATTAATCGACTGTAACACGGATTGAATGACTTAATCGTTAATCAGCTATGAAAAATGCACTAGAATATCGCACATATGATCGATCTAGATTCTTTCGTTCTTCTTCTTCTTCTTTTATAGAAAAGAAAAAGAAATAAATCACATCGACGACATATCTATTAACTTGTTTAATTTTCTTTGCTTTTGTAAAATGAATATGATTAATAATGAAATAAATATCCAACAATTCTCTATTTAATTATATGAATGACAAACAAAATACAAAAATATAAAATCGTATGT